AAAATCCCAACCTTCAACAAGTCGCTACATGTCAGCAAAACTCTAGCACCCTCATTGGACAACGTCCCCAAGTATTTTCAAGTCCAACTTAGTCCCCTATCACCCAAAATCTCAAACCATCAAAAGTACCCCACCCCATCCGCCAAAACCCTTCAAGCCTTTGCCTCCCAAAATGTTGGCCTCACCGGGCGCCGGCGCCACACAGCCGTCGCCGGCTGCTCCCGGCGCGGCTTTTGGCGCCGCCAGACGAGCTTGGCAAACCTGGCCCAGGACTCTTATTTAATTGGGTTCTGTAGAGACCATACTTGGGGCCATTAAAACCATTAGAACGTTTTGATATTACGATTATTGTTGTTGCTATTAGTTGTAAAAAATTACTATCATTGTTTTGTTTTGGGGGTTTCTCTTGGGTCATAATGCTGGGATGTACAAGGATATACAGAGTTCAGTGAGTCTGGGGTCTAGAGTTTAGGTCTCTCATGTGGGGTAGGCTTCGGCGCTTATCGGGAAAGTTGCGGGTTACATGGGGCGCTTACGGTCGACATTTCTCAAGATCCCTTCTTTGTTTTCAGAGCTTGCATACACTAAGCTCCAATAGTTTGGGTGCATATGTAAGGAGCCTAGGTTTGATACATGGGCATGTCATGTTCTTTATCGTCTGGCATAGGAGAGAACAGGAGCTTAACAGATAAGGTTTCCAGAGATCAATGTTGAATTTACGAAGTCTTCGAAGTATGAACTGTCAGGGGCCTTGCCCTTAGGCCCTCGACGGCCATAGCGCATTTAGAGACGCAATTGGTCTACAAGATTGTTAGTGTTGTTTGCAAGCAACTTCAGAGAAAGAATTCAATAATTTCTGAGATGCGCCGAAGTCTCTGGAGCTTACATAGCGCCCCTCAACATAAATTCCCCCCTCCCCCAGATTGTTGCATCGCAGCATACAGGCTCCAAAAGTGAGAAGGAAGTAAGCCCCATAACCTTCATATAAACCCCATATAGACCGGAACCCTACATAACCCTCCAATATACCCCGGTTGACCCCCTCTATACTTCCAAGATTCAACCCTAAACCCTGCTACATCACTCCTACGACCCTAATTCCCCGTCGGTGAATGCATTTGCTGCTGTCGCAACTTTTCTTCGGCAATGGCATCTGCGAAGAGACGCCGAGTCCGTGGGAAGCAGCGTAGACCCCCTATATAATTCCTAGATTCAACCCTAAACCCTACTACATCACTCCTACGACCCTAATT